CACATGAGCTGAGCTGCTAAGATTATGACTTTAGTTCTTCTACTGTAAATGTTGTTAATCAATTACTCCACTGCACCTGCAGTTACAAAGGTCAGTGAGAGCTTATGGTAAAGCTCATTTACTGCTTGTTACAAATATGTGAATACTTGAATGTTCATACTTTCACTATAGTCAAACTTTAAAGGGCACTGCAATCCATAAGAAGCTAAGACTCACTCTACAGGTGAAACTCGAAAAATTAGAATATCGTGCAAAAGTGAATTTATTTCAGTAATGCAAATTAAAAGGTGAAACTATTATATGAGATAGACTCATTACATGCAAAGCAAGATAGTTCAAGCCGTGATTTGTCATAATTGTGATGATTATGGCTTACAGCTCATGAAAACCCCAAATCCACAATCTCAGAAAATTAGAATATTGTGAAAAGATGCAATATTCTAGGCTCAAAGTGTCCCACTCTAATCAGCTAATTAAGCCATAACACCTGCAAAGGGTTCCTGAGCCTTTAAATGGTATCTCAGTCTGGTTCAGTAGGAATCACAATCATGGGAAAGACTGCTGACCTGACAGTTTGCAGAAAACCATCATTGACACCCTCCATAAGGAGGGAAAGCCTCAAAAGGTAATTGCAAAAGAAGTTGGATGTTCCCAAAGTGCTGTATCAAAGCACATTAATAGAAAGTTATGTGGAAGGGAAAAGTGTGGAAGAAAAAGGTGCACAAGCAGCAGGGCTGACTGCAGCCTGGAGAGGATTGTCAGGAAAAGGCCATTCAAAAGTGTTGGGGACTTTCACAAGGAGTGGACTGAGGCTGGACATGGGCTTCAAATGTCATATTCCTCTTGACAAGCCGCTCCTGAACAACAAATAACGTCAGAAGCGTCTTACCTGGGCTAAAGAAAAACAGACCTGGTCTGTTGCTCAGTTGTCCAAAGTCCTCTTTTCTGATGAGAGCAACTTTTGCATCTCATTTGGAAGCCAAGGACCCAGAGTATGGAGGAAGAATGGAGAGGCACACACTGCAAGATGCTTGAAGTCCAGTGTGAAGTTTCCACAGTCTGTGTTGATTTGGGGAGCCATGTCATCTGCTGGTGTTGGTCCACTGTGCTTCATTAAGTCCAGGGTCAACGCAGCCATCTACCAGGAGATTTTGGAGCACTTCATGCTTCCTTCCGCAGACATGCTTTATGGGGATGCTGACTTCATTTTCCAGCAGGACTTGGCACCTGCCTACAGTGCCAAAAGCACCAAAACCTGGTTCAATGACCGTGGGATTACTGTGCTTGATTGGGCAGCAAACTCGCCTGACCTGAACCCCAAAGAGAATCTATGGGGCATTGCCAAGAGAAAGATGAGAGACATGAGGCCGAACAATGAAGAAGAGCTGAAGGCTGCTATTGAAGCATCCTGGTCTTCCATAACACCTCAGCAGTGCCACAGGCTGATAGCTTCCATGCCACACCGCATTGAGGCAGTAATTGCTGCAAAAAGGGCCCAAACCAAGTACTGAGTACATATGCATGCTTATACTTTTCAGAGGTCCGATATTGTTCTATGTACAATCCTTGTTTTATTGATTGCATGTAATATTCTAATATTCTAATTTTCTGAGATTGTGGATTTGGGGTTTTCATGAGCTGTACGCCATAATCATCACAATTATGACAAATCACGGCTTGAACTGTCTTGCTTTGCATGTAATGAGTCTATCTCATATATTAATTTCACCTTTTAAGTTGCATTACTGAAATAAATTCACTTTTGCATGATATTCTAATTTTTTGTTTCACCTGTAATTCTATGACATAACAGGCAGAAAGTGGTAGCTACCCAGATCTATTTAAATCTAGCACATGAAAGGTGCACTCAAATGGTATAGTAAGGTGTTGACTCCAGTGTGTACTTGCACCATATACTGTATATGTTTACAGTGAAGGTCTTCGACAAAATGTATGGCCAATATACTTTACATTTAGGCGCTATGGTAAAATGTGCATTATTGTAGCGAATGAAAATATGTTTTATGTGTTGACACATTTTGGTGCCATTTGTGTGTTACAACACACTACAATGCATGGCAATACACCATTTTGCCATGTAGCAAAAAGTTTGTGACATTTCTAATTTTTGGGATGTTTTGGTGTGTCAAAAACCCATTGATTTTAATGGGCCACCTTAATGCAATGCATGTTAATGTGTTACAAAATATGTTGATGTGTGTGCAATAACAAATCAATCAAATGCAAATGGACCCTTAGCAGGTAAATCTAAATGTTATTACAAATTACTTCTGCCTTGCTAAAAGCAGAAGCCCATGAATAGAAATACAGTAGTATAAGCTGTTAAAGATAGAATTCAACTTGAGTCATGTAGAAGCTAGACTGTAAATAGCTATGGTTTAGGGGCTGGTGCCAAAGGTTATCTTAGCATAAATAGATGTAAGGCCAATAGAAATATTGACAAGTTAATTCTTTTTTAAGCTGCTTTTGACATTTTCTTGGGCAGGGGGCCACCGTTGTGACACTCGTAGTTACCAAAGCTAACGTATAAATTACCAGTTGCCTGAGTAAATAAGCTAAAGTTCCAATTCAAGTAAAAATAATAGCAGAAAAATACAAATGCACATTTTAACTGTTAGTTAAATACAAATTCTAAAATGTAAATGACCAAATAAATCTACTTATTAGTGACGTTCACCATAGCATTGAGCTAAGATTTCTGAAACCTGCATTTTAAGTGTCTGCACATCCTTGTCTGCTATCTTACTTGCCTTTCATAGTTATTCAGAATATGACTATGAAGTCTATTCAACCTATCAAATGCTAATCTATTTTATGGAAACATTACTGTATATTAGGGCATAAAAATATCCAACCTAGATAATATTTTTTTGCTCTAAACTGGAAGATAAGTGTGCTAGCCTAGAGAAATACAACTATTGGGAACTAGGTATGAGCAAACTGAGAAAAGTTTGGTTTGCATGAAGTTCGGTAAACTCAAAATCCGCTAATGAACATGGCTTCAAACCCAGATTGAAATCTATGAGCCAAATAATTTTCAATTTAGTTTAAAGCTTTTTGTTAAAAATAAAGCTGGTATAGTTGAGCACTGACAAGGGAGACGTACCAGTACAAAATAAAACATAAATACAGATAGTAGAAGAAGTTCTTTAAAAATGCTTAAAGGAAATCATCAAAATACACAAATGTTTTTAAATACCATGCTTAGAAATGCACATGAAGTTGCAAAATAGTACAACGCACAAAATGGAATAGATGACAAGACTCCTGGACATCCAGGCTGCATACCTGGATATGGAGTTAGTATGAATTTTTTGTGGGATGCCACACCATTTTTTTTTTCATCATTTTTTAACATTTATAACTAAAAAAGCATGTTGATGGGTGAAAGACCCTCATCATCACATTCTGTCCCACAAAGAAACTCCCTGTTAACATAATGACCTGTTTCATGGCAATCCTCAAAAGAATGTGGGGATCTGCAGAATGGGACATATCAGAATCCTAATGCCAACTTTAGAATAAATGGGCCCCCAGATATAGCCTCCCCCAACTGAATGAGTAAGGAGGGGCCTACAGTATATCTGAGTCAAAAGTCCTCAGTGACAAAACACATTAACAAGGAGGGCCAGAACATGCACCAGTCAGCTTTGCAACGAGGAGGAAAGAACTGTGTGGCAATCTACACACCATAGAGAGTGACAGGTGAGGGACACCAGATGACAGTACTGCCCAATGTTACTGTAATATTTTATTGTTCTAATAAATATAAGTATACTTAACAGTTTTTCTTACTGCTTTATTTTATTTGTTCATTGCTCAAGACATAAGCTGCAAGGGTAGCACTAAGAAGTTGATGAGTGACAATGAGATATCTGGTTGCAATTCTAAGAGGTCTGTTTGTTTTGGTGTGTTTAATTTGATACTGGTGTAAGGAAAGCACTGGATATCTGCTTTTGGTTGTTCACAGAGGTAAAAGAAAAGAAGATACTATTTTGTATTTTTTTTAAAGATGGTTTTAATGCTTTATGTATAACACAACATAGATGTATTGGTAGTTGGGAGTGTTGGGTCTCTTGATGTATGCATGCATGCATAAATGATTGTATGGACATTCCAACAATGCCAGAGAGCTTTCATTCACAATGGGAGTAGCGGCGGGGCACTCGTGTGCAGTCATTGACAAATTTGGTAATCAGTAGGGATGAGATTGGTGTTTGTAACTGCCTAGGATTAACACACAAGTTGAAAAACTAAATAGGTTGTTTTTCCACTCTCTGAGGTGAACCTCTGGTTGTATCCAGAAGTCTATTAATTGTGTTATAGTATTGCTACCACCCAGAGGCGTATCTGCCGCGAGGCAAACAAGGAATTTGTCTTGGGCGGCATTTTTCAGGGGGGCGGCATCACCCCCAGGAAGAAGGGACCAGTGCCGTCGCTGCAAAGGGTTGTACTTGACCAGGGGGATGTGGTCGTGTGTGCTAGAGAGGAGCATTTTTGGCGGGGGTTCGTGTGTGCTCGGCGGCGAGGATGGGTCAGCACCCGTATGTTCCCCCACGGCTGCCCCACCCTCCAGCACTGCAGGGGATCTGTCAGCATATGCAGCCCCCAGTGTTGACAGTCCCCCCCCCCACACAGACGGGACAGGAGAGAGAAAGCTGCCCATCCTCCTCCTGCCCTCTCCTCTTGTGTCTACCCCACCCACACTTCCAGACAGCCTTGTGTCCCCCCCCCCTCTCCCCCCATCCCCCTCTCTCTTTCTCTCTCTTCTCTCTCTCTCCTCTCCCCCCCTCTCTCTCCTCTCTTCTCTCTCCTCTCTTCCTCTCTCTCTCCCCCCTCATCTCTCTCTCTCTCCTATATCTCTCTTCTCTCTCCCCTCTCTCCCCTCTCTCCCCCTCTCTCTCCTCTCCCCCCTCTCTCTCCTCTCTTCCTCTCTCTTCTCTCTCTCTTCTCTCCCTCTCTCTCTCTTTCTCTCTCTCTCTCTCCCCCTTTCTCTTCTCTATCTCCCTTCTCTCCCCCTCTCTCTTCTCTCTCTCTCTCTCTCCCTCTCTCTCTCTCTCTCCCCCCCTCTCTCTCTCCTCCCCCCTCTCTCTCTCCCTCTCCTCCTCTCTCCTCTCTCCCTCTCCCCCCTCCCTCTCTCTCCCCCCCCTCTCTCTATCGACTCTCTCCTTCTCTCTCTCCTCTCCCCTCTCTCCTCTCCACTCTCTCCCCCTCTCTCTCTCTCCTCCCCCCCTCCTCCCCCCCTTTCTCTCTCTCCTCTCCCCTCCCTCTCCCTCTCTCTCTCTCTTCTCTCTCTCTATCTCTCTGCCCTCTCTCCCCCCCCCCCCTCTCTCCTCTCCCTTCTCTCTCTCTTCCTTCCCTCCTACAAAAAAAAGTAAAAAAATAAAATTGTAAAAATGTAAATAAAAATAAAAACCTACTGACACTAGTGGCGAAACTACCAGGGTCACAAAGGCCGCTCTTGCGTCCAGACCCTTGTGTTCCGCTACCACCAGGCTCCGAGGAAAGGGTCCCTGGGCTTTGGGCTGCTCAGTCCAAAGTGCCCAGGCCTATTTTTTGTCCCAGTGCAGGCCTGGCTATGACCAATAAAGGGCACGACGTCTATGAAGATCTCAAGGTTCTACTCGTTTTACTAGGAGGTGCAGTATGTGAGTCTTCTCTGAGGTGCTAGATGTTTAACTATATTGATGAAAGCTTGATGTACACTAGACTCTATGAGTGGCTTCAGGTCTAACAGATTGTGCAGAAACCATCTAATGTGTGTTGGCAAATCAGATGTCTATAGTGCTTGGTATAGATCAGACCTCTCCAGCTGGTTCACAGTCTCTGACTGTCTTCTGTATCCTGTCCGCAGTCTCCGGTCATCTCCTGTACTTTGTCCGCAGTCTCCGGTCATCTCCTGTACTATGTCCGCAGTCTCTGACTGTGTCTTGTACTATTTCCGCAGTCTCCGGTCATCTCCTGTACTATGTCCGCAGTCTCTGTCTCCTGTACTATGTCCGCAGTCTCTGATCTCTCCTATATCCTGTCCACAGTGTCTGACTATCTCCTGTAGTATATCAGCAGACTCTGATCATCTCCTGTATCATGTCTGCAGTCTTTGACCATCCCCTGTATCCTGTCCACAGTCTCTGACCATCTCCTTTAGTATGTCAGCAGACCCTGATCATATCCTGTATCCTGTCTGCAGCCTCTGACCTTCTCCTGTATCCTGTCCTCAGTCTCTGACCTTCTCCTGTATCCTGTCCTCAGTCTCTGACCATCTCCTGTATCCTGTCTGCCATCTCTGACCATCTCCTGTATCCTATCTGCCGTCTCTGACCATCTCCTGTATCCTGTCCGTCGTCTCTGACCATCTCCTATAGTATGTCAGCAGACTCTGATCATCTTCTGTATCCTGTCCACAGTCTCTGACCGTCTCCTGTATGCTGTCCACAATCTCTGACCATCTCCTGTATCCTGTCCGCAGTCTCTGACCATCTCCTGTATCCTGTCCACAGTCTCTGACCATCTCCTGTATCCTGTCCTCAGTCTCTGACCTTCTCCTGTATCCTGTCCTCAGTCTCTGACCATCTCCTGTATCCTGTCCTCAGTCTCTGACCATCTCCTGTATCCAGTCTGCCATCTCTGAACATCTCCGCAGTCTCTGACCATCTCCTGTATCCTGTCCGTCGTCTCTGACCATCTCCTGTATCCTGTCCACAGTTTCTGACCATCTCCTAAAGTATGTCAGCAGACTCTGATCATCTCCTGTATCCTGTCCTTAGTCTCTGACCGTCTCCTGTATGCTGTCCACAATCTCTGACCTTCTCCTGTATCCTGTCCTCAGTCTCTGACCTTCTCCTATATCCTGTCCTCAGTCTCTGACCATCTCCTGTATCCTGTCCGCCATCTCTGATCATCTCCTGTATCCTGTCTGTCATCTCTGACCATCTCCTATAGTATGTCAGCAGACTCTGATCATCTCATGTATCCTGTCCTCAGTCTCTTACCATCTCCTGTATGCTGTCCACAATCTCTGACCTTCTCCTGTATCCTGTCCGCAGTCTCTGACCGTCTCCTGTATCCTGTCCACAGTCTCTGACCATCTCCTGTATCCTGTCCTCAGTCCTCTGACCTCCCTGTATCCTGTACTCAGTCTCTGACCATTCCTGTATCCTGTCTGCCATCGCTGACCCTCTCCTGTATCCTGTCTGCAGTCTCTGACCATCTCCTGTATCCTGTCTGTCGTCTCTGACCGTCTCCTGTATCCTGTCCACAGTCTCTGACAATCTCCTAAAGTATGTCAGCAGACTCTGATCATCTCCTGTATCCTGTCCTCAATCTCTGACTGTCTCCTGTATGATGTCCACAATCTCAGATCGTCTCCTGTATCCTGTCCGCAGTCTCTGACTGTCTCCTGTATCCTGTCCACAGTCTCTGACCATCTCCTGCATCTTGTCTGCAGTCTCTGACAAGCTCCTGGAGGTGGAGCTCTAATAGGAAGAGGTGGAGCCTAAATCAGAAGGGGTGGAGTTTACAGATGAAGATGTGGCTCCTAAACAGGAAGGGGAGGGGCAAATTTGATGGGGGTGTGATTTTAGTCTTGCCTAGGGCAGCACAAAACCAAAATACACCACTGCTAACACCAAGTGACAACTTCCCTTTATGCACGCCACAAAGGTCTTTGGTTACTAGACACAAGTGGCTGCCTGCATCTCAGCAACCAAGGGTGCTGTGTAGACTGGCTGCCTGCATCCTTGCAGTCAATGATGTGTGGTATGGATTTTTATTTGGGGGAGATCCCTGATATTTTGTTTATTTTTTTGCATTTGTTCTCATTGAAAATCCATACCCAATATCACATACCTAGTTAAGGGCTAAAATGATAACAGGGACTACCTCCTTACAGCTCTGGTCTAAAAAAAACTCTGAAATAGTGATAGGGTGTGAAAGGGCACAAACTTACATGGGTGATGAGACTCCAGTCCACATATTACTACTTCTGATAAGGGACTTAGCAGAGAAGTGCTCTTGTAGACTGCTGAGAAGTTCACTGGGGAACCCAGTGCAAATACCACAGATGAGTAGACTGAAACAACAGCTGAAAGGAACACCAGCACCCTCAACAGGCTGGAGGCAGAGGTTGCGACAGCCAGTGGCTGATAACCGGAATGGCAGGTATCAGTCAGGATGGAAGGCAGAGGCAAAGTCATGAAGCAAATCAAGCATTGTATGGTAAACATGTTTATGGTCAGGATGCCAGCAGAGGTTAGCAATTGGTAATCAGCAGGATCATAGTCACACCAAGGTCATCAATGGATAATCAGCAGGATCATAGTCAAGAAGCAAGCTGAGGTCAGCAATAGGTAGTCATCAGGATAGTGGTCAGGAAGCAAGCTGAGGTCAGCAACAAGTAGACAAATCTCAATTAAGTTCATATTAAAGCTTGTAGTTTGTTAATTATTTTTTATGTGTTCAATGAACCTGCCCTTGAATCAAACCCAAGCAGATTAGTCCATCACCAGCTATGACCATATTTGGTTAATGACATCATGCAGCATTCTCTCCAGCTTGTTTGCAATTTTAAACAGTAGTCAGCAGGGATAAGTGATGGGATTTGTGTTCGCAATGGTGCAGGATTCAAAGCAAAGCTTGCCTATTCATAGTTTGTAGGCCAGGCAAATGTTTGGACTGTTAGCGCTGTTCACCCACAAAAACGTTCTACTGCAGAAGGAGGTTATTAATTTAATGGTGATATTACAACTGACAATAAATGATAACTTCCTAGCATTGTTGACTGATAAGATGCTAGGTCACAGTATCGCTGGCTGCTGTTTGACATGTCTGCAATTCTGGTTGATGTAATTGACCAAATTTTGGTCAATTACATTAGCCAGCTCCATGCTTCTTTGTTTACATGTAGCTACAGGGCTGGGAGCTTTCATTCATGGCAAAAATTCTTCATGACCTGCAGTGGGTCTTCGATCATAGTGAGTGATGTACTGTAGATCTACATAACTGGATGGCATAACTGACAATAGATTTACATCTTGAGATCTTAAGACTTTTTTGGTTTTGTTTTGTTTTTTTTTAATAAGGGATTTTGGCATGTCACTGTTTATCTACTATTTTTATGAAGAAATGAGTAATCAAGTGTAATATTCATTCACATGAAGGGGTGGCCATCCACTCTGGGATCTTTGTCCTCATCAACATTGGGAGAGGGTGCTGTCACAGTCAAGGATCAGCCTCAGAGGCCAGTAGTTATAGCAGAAGAAGGCTCTCACCAAACAGCTGGATATGTGTAGCAGCAGGTCACCCTGGCAGACAACATGGCTCAACTGAGGTGTGGGGTATAAACACTAACTGGTGTTCACCAGAGCTCCTGATAGTTGAGATGGGTTTTGCTGCATGTTATTACCAGGTCACAGTCCTCAGGATTTCCTTAACAAGAGTTGAGCAAGCTGGCATCCAGTAGAAGATTTAGCAGGTAGGGATCAGCAGATGGGTATTCATTAAACAAGCCAATGGTCATGGTTGCAGGTTCTGATTAAGCAGAAGAATAGCTGAAGAACAAGCCAAAGGTTGGTAACAAGTGGTAGTGGAGCTACAGACAGCAGCAGAAGTGACAGGAGCAAGAAATTGGCTGGGGAGAGCACAATAATCTGGCAAACAGGATGTGCAGAGACACAGCTTAAATCAGGAAGTTCATAGGAAGAGAAAAGAGTTCAGGGTTCATGAAAAATAAGATACGAGGCAATATTGTTTAATGGATCAGAAGCAGGGGCAGACTGACAACTCATGGGGCCCCCGGGCAATAGAGGATCATGGGGCCCCTGTGTCCTTGCCCAAAAACTCAAAAAAGCTTATGAAAAAGGTACCAGGGGCATCTCATGGGGCCCCCTACTGACCCCGGACCCTCGGTCACCGCTCAGAAAAAAGAGTTACTACTAGCATACACAGCAGAAGTCCCTGGTTCAAAATGAGGCCCTTTGTTAGAGGGGTCCCCCTTGGCACTCACCCCATGTTGAGAGCATATGTTTTGGTATGTCGCTATCCCCAGCCTTTCCTGGCCAACCAGACTGCATATTTGGATAAGGGCCTGGTGTGGTTTTTTTGGGGGAAGGTAATTCTTTTCTATACAATAATATATTGGTAACCAGATTGTAACTTGTGAACAAATGAAAACATTAATGCATTTAGAGAATTGTATCTGAGAGAGTGGTGGCTGAAAGATCATAAAGAAGTCAACACTGCTTCAACCACTCCTTAGACCCTTGGACTGGTTATGTCATTTCTGCAATCATTCTCCTCAGCAGCCACAATGGCAGCTCATAAGCTCTCTCTATTCTCCATCAAAATGATGCACATATGCCAGAAAATTAAGTAATTCCACATCCACAGAGGAAGGAGAGTGGAGGGATCCCAGCACAGTGCAGGCAGAGAAAGAGAGAGAGAGTAGAGAGAGAGGGAGAGGGGAAGGGAGGGAGGAAGGGAGAGAGAGGGGGGAGAGAGAAAGGGGGTGAAAGGGGGTCGAAAAATAGAGG